ATATATATATATATATGGATTGGTTCCAATGCATCCATATTCTTAAAGTGAGGACATGAGACTCATTTTTAGCCACAAGATTTAGTACATCATGTGTGACCAAGATTTACTCTTTTCTTTTTATTATTTTAATTATTTAAATATTATTTTGACCCGTTGACTCCGGTGTTGACCGTTGACTTCCGACGTTGACTTCATGCAAAATCCGTTGACTTCCGACGTTGACCGGTACGTTGACAACTAACCTTCTAACTAGGTTAGTTGTCTGTAGTTGCTAGGTTAGTTATTTGTAGTTGCTAGGTTAGTAGTAGCTAAGTTAGTTCTCTGTAGTTGTTAGGTTAGTTGTCTGCAGTTGCTAGGTTAGTTGTCTGTAGTTGCTAAGAACTGTCCGCATTTTAAGAGCTGGCTTCAGTTTAAGAGCTGTCCTAATTTGATCTGCCCCATATATATATATATATCATATTACATATACAAAATTATCATTTTTTTATTTTTTAACATTTAATATCTAATAAATGTAACTCAATTGAGAAATTAATGGTTAATCTTGAGGTGAAATAATGACCGATTTCTAAAAACACTATATGGACAAAAATTAATCAATTCAATATATTTTTATTAGAAAAATTGTAAAACAATTGATTAATAATAGAAACTACTATATAAAATTTTTAATGTTTTATAAGGACTACAATAACAAATTGCTATATTACAACGAAAAAAAAATCCAACGGTAGGTATTCCACTTAAAATTTCAACGGATATTCATTGGTATAGCTTTTATTGGAAAATTTCATGGTTTATTCCCGCAAAGATCAAATTCAATTACATTGAGATATAATATCATTATTGATTCTAATTACCATTATTTATAATTGTGTAAAGTTCTATTTATTTTTATTTTGACCATATCTCAACCGTTGGAAAAAATATTATTAGAATTGCAATGGCGAATCTATAATAATTTCACATACCTTATCCTATATGTTTTGGGATGTGGGTCTATATCGGGCTGTTAAATAAACATAGATCTGCCCATGATTCCAGCATATAGTTTTGTTAGAATGTTTTCATCGCAAAATTCAAACGAAAGTAATACCATTGAAATAT